CTCTGGGTTGGCACTCAATATCGAGTCTCCCAGGACAAGGAGTAGCCTAAAAGCTGGTCTTATGAAATATGGAGTGACTTAGACCCCATCTCCATAGGAATCTTAGGAGGAATGCTGAGTTTCTGTTGATGTGTTTGCTTATATCCCTGGTTGGACTCAAACTTTCTCTCCTCTTTCTTCTCAAGTGCTGTGTTACCAGTGTGAATCACCTCACCTAGCATATGCTAAAGTATTTTAATGTAAATGGTAGAAATATAATGCATGCTAAGTCTGATCCAAAAGTTTTTTTAGGAATCATAGGTTGTCTGGTATCTGTCTTTGTACTTGGGGTGATTAAACATCAAACATCTCTGAGTTTACGGTTGAAATGACCTGAGAGACTGCACATAGTGTATGGGCTCTCTTGCTATTGATGCCCTTGGTCAAGGGTGGATTGCCAGAACAGGCCTAGCAAGCACTCTAATGCTGCGTCATTAGAAAAGGAGTTTCCTGGAAGGTGTGGTGGTACATACCTACAATCCCAGCAACCAGGAGGGCTAAAGAAGAATCGTGAGTTTGAGGCCAGTTTGACACACATGGAAACTGTGAACATGACAATAAGGTAGAAAAGAAATCCTATTGGAAAATAAACAAGGAAAAGAATTTCTTGTCCAGCAATCAATGAACAGATAAGGAAAACAAACATTATATATATACATGAGATAGTATCACTTAACCACAGAGAAGATTTAAATCATGTCATTTGTAGGAATATGAATGGAGATGGAGAAAGTCATGTTAAGTGAAGTAAACCATATTTGGAAAGACAAGTTATTACATGTTTTTCCTTATATATGGACTCCATAAAAATATTAAAAGTAAATAGGGCTAGAGAGATGACGTAGCAGTTAAGAACACTTGTTGTGGGATATTTGTACACTGTGTGAAGAGGTAGAGCTTGATTGGAATAATAAAAAGCGGAGTGGCCAATAGCTAGAAAGAGGTTGGGTGGACTTCCAAGGACAGAGAAGGCTCTGGGAAGAAGAAGGGCAGAGATGCTAAGAGACACAGAGAGGAAACATCACGTGATAGAATGTAGATTAATACAAACAGGTTTATTAAAGTTATAAGAGCTAGTTAGGAACAAGCCTAAGCTATACGCTGAGCCTTCATAATTAATAAGAAGTTGCTGTGTCATCATTTGGGATCTGCCTGGTGGGACAGAAAAAGACTCGTTACAAGCACTTGTTTCTCTTCCAGAGGTCTTGAATTTGGTTCTCAACACCCATGGTAGATGACTCGCAACAACATGTAACTCTAGTTCCAGGGGATCCAGTGCCCTCTTCTAGCCTCTGAGGGTACCTATAAATAAGCGACTTACCCCCCCCCACACACACACTCAAATGAAATGAAATGTAAAAATAACAGACAACATTAAATTGGGTATGATGGTTCACACTTGTAATCCTGGTACACAGAAGGCAGAAACAGAAGGATCAGGACCTAACCTTGGCTACATGATGTGTCCAAGGCCATTGTGGGCTACATGAGATTTGGTCTCGAAATAAAAATTAAAAACACATGAAACCATTCAGAGAGTCTATTAGAAAAGAAGAAAGGAATGGAGGAATGGAGATCAGGAGAAAGTATTGGGGGAAGGATGTGAGCAGAGTACAGTATACATGTATATGAATGTGTCACAATGGAACCCATTATTCTGTGCAACTAATATGCACTAACACTATTTTAAATAAAAAAGAAAGAAAAGGGGAGTTTCTGTAAGCGAGGCCCTGCTGCTGCAACCCCATGCCCTTTTCTTGGAAAGAAGCTCATTATTTCACAGAAAGTCAGCCCTGCTCTTGGCTCCATATTGTAAGAAGAAGCCTGTTCCTGAAGGTGTAGCTCTCGCTAAATATAACCCAGGCATCCAGTCTAAGAGCAAGGGATGCCCCTCCCCATCACCCCTCATATCATTTTCAGATGTAAAGAATCCAATGTCCTTTAGCAGCTACAGACACAAGATTCTGTTTTCTCCCACATGAAACTGAACTCCCTTTTGGCCAGAAGGATAGAGATACTTTAAACCTTAACATTACTAATTCAGGAAGATAACAAAGTATTTCATCCAGTTTCCTCAAATAACAGATAAGAAGCAAAGGCCAAGGGCCATAGTTGCTTAATGACTACAAAGCAGGTATAGTGACTACCTTGTTTCTACATGTGTGTGCGCGCGCGCACACACACACACACATACACACACACACACACACACACACACACACACACACACACACGCTGTCCTTGTTAAGAGAAGCCAATCGGACAATGGGATTTGGTGAAATTCTAACATAATTTTAGTACTCAGAAAACGCAACTGGAAAAAAATGTCTTTTTCTTGCAGTAGCTGGAGAAGGACAGAATTCTCAGGCCACTTCATATCATCCACAACTAAATTTCAGATGGGTTAAAACTCTAAATTGAGAGCCAGATGTAGTGGGTATGCCTGTAGTCCCAACTACTTGAGAGTTGGAGGCAAGAGGATTATTTGAGCCTAAAAGTTCAAGCCCAGCCTGGGCAACAAAGAGAAACAAACCATGTCTAAAATCAAAAGAAAGAACAAAAGGAAGGAAAAAAATCTAAAATGAAAATTTAAAGTAATAAAAATATGATTTATGTAGGAGTTAGTAACCTTTGTAAGGAGGATACATAATCCCAAATCATAAATAAAAATAACTATGGATATGGCTGAATAAAAATTAAATGATTTAAACAATATGTATAACAAAGGGCTAATATCCACATATAAATGCTTTTCAATAAATAAATATGAAAAGCAAAGATAGTTCAATAGAAAAATGGACAAAGTATATGAACTGGATAATCACAAAACGTACAAATTTTCATTGAGTGCATAAATGGATGATTTTTAGGGAAGTGGATTTTCACAGTGACTTCAGGTTCCTTCCAGCTTCAGAGTCAAGCAGACAGAAGTCATTGGCAAGGATTGTTCTCCAGGGAGACAGTTTTCCCAGAAAGCTCACTCTGAACAGCAGTCATTGTTTGGTGACACCTAGCCTTATTTAATTTGTTTCAAGAATCTAGAAAGGCTCACCATGATGGCACATATCTGTAACTCCCGAAGTGGGGAGACTGAGACAGCAGCATTGGGTAGCTACATACTGAGACTCCGAAAGAAAAAAGAGAAAAAGAAAAGCAAGGACTCAATAGCAGAATGCTTGCCCAGCACAGGACCCTGGGTTGAATACTAGGTTGGTAACAACCTCTTAGAAACTTGGTGTTCGTATATAAAGGTTTTACTGGAAGACAACAAACTACTAAATACAGTGAGGTTAAGACATAAACTGTTGAGCCTTCCCAGGCCTAACTTGACTTCCTTATAGAAAGAGTATGTCCCATTTCCAGGCTTGGTGTCTAGAGAAAGCTACACAGAGGCATCTACCTCTAATCTCTGTAGTCAGCCATTGATAAGATTATACAGTCAACTAATTTTATCTAGACTTTAATGTGTGTTTTCTGTGTGTTCTCCTTCCCATAACCACCTGAAGTGCAACATTTATCATCCTGATTTATTAAAGCAATGCAAGTTAAAATGTGATGCTGGTCTATAGAGTACATAGATTTTTGTCTAACTGATCAGTTAAGAATTAGCTATATGCCAGACAGTAGTGGTGCTAGCCTTTAATCCCAGCACTTGGGAGGCAGAGGCAGGTGCATCTCTGTGAGTTCAAGGCCAGCCTGGTCTACAGAGTGAGTTCCAGGACAGGCTCCAAAACAATACAGAGAAACCCTGTCTCAAAAAAAAAAAAAAGAATTATCTATAGTGTCTAATGGTGACAAAGGAGGATTAAAATATAATCCACTACACTGTTGGTAAGGGAATTTTTTTTAAAAACCATGTGTATGTGTGTGGTGTGTGTTTTTGCGTATGTGTGATCATATGTGTGGGCATACTCATGTATATGTGTATGCGTGTGTACAGGGAGGCCTAAGGTTAACTTTGGGAGTCTTCCTACATCACTGTCCATGTTATTCTTTGAGGCAGGACCTGTCAGTCGAACCCAGAACTCACCAATATGGCTAGTCTAGTGAGGCAGTTTGCTCTGGGGATTCTTTGTCTCCACTTTTGCTTTCCAAGTGCTGGAACTGCAGGAGGGCTGCCATGCCTACCCAGCATTCTTACATGGGTTCCAGGAATCCAAACTTTATTCCACATGCTTGTGTAACAAGTGCTTTATCTAATAAGCCATCTCCCCAGCCATTGTGATTATTAATAAAGCCCCTTAAATATGAATTACGAATTCCCTTTGACCTAGCAGTGGTAACTCAGAAATATGTGCTAATATTTAAGCTGTGCATATAAATAACTTACTGCATTCTTATTTCTACCTGAAACTATCAGACTGAAGATGTAGCTTGGTGGCAGAGCTATAGATGCTCAGTGTATGGGAGGAGTGTATTGATTTGCTGGCACCACAAAACAAAACACCTATAAAAACCCTACACGACCATTAGTGATAAAGATGACGAAACAAACTAAAGATATCTTTATCTTATCCCAGAAGCGGACCACATGACTAGTACAAGGTACATGTTTGAGAAACCTAAGTGGATGAAGTGGGGAAGGGCAGGCAGCCAGTAAAGGCTGCCTATGGCTCAATAAACTCGATTGACTGGCGTTTAAACTGTCAGGGAAATTGTGAAAGTAGCGCCAAGCGCATGCCTGAAGACCATCGCAGCTGAGATCCAGAGAGCTGGAATGCTTACACCCCAGTGGTTTTGAGTTACTTATAAGGCTTAAGGCTTTGTCCCAATGCGCATCAACTCCCAAGCCCTTCCACAACCAGCTACAGCCAAAGCGGCTTTAGTGGCTGGGGAGAGGCGTCCAACAAGATGGAGGCACTGGTCTTCAGAAGTCGGGCTGCTGTGTGTAGTAATGATAAGGTTTCCAAGGAGGCGTGAGCAGAGCACTGGCAGTACCAGCCACACACCCTAAGAAACACAAAGAGGCCTTTGGAGAGAATGGCCTCTTACAAGACAAACAAGGAACAGACGGACGTTTATCAACGCCGCTGCTCTGTTTTACATTTTGTGTCACTGAGGTGGTGTCACTAAGTAGCTCATGCTGGCCTTGAACTATCTAGCTTCCTGTCTTAACCGTTGTGATTACCCGTGTGCTCCACCATGTCTGGCTAATGCTGTGCCCCATCATGGCGATTTCCTTTACGGTAATTTGTTTTCTATGTCACTTTCCTCTGAAGAGAGCAGGGTGGAGGGGAAAGTGGATTCTCATTTTCTGTTTTATAGATTTCTGGGTTTTGTTTTGTTTTTGCAACAAACCCAAAGGCCACCCTCCTTCCTTCCTTTCTATTTTTTATATTTAAAAGTGGGTGCTAGGGGAGTAGAGAAAATGTATAGCTCAATAAAAAATGGCAAATAGAATAAAATAGTTGCTAGAAAAGAAAGCGGGTGCTGCCGTAGCTCACTGCTGGTATATTTGTCTACCGTGCATGAACCCCAGTTTAATCCCCAACAGCAGGTTTGCCTTTCTTCTCTCTCTCTCTCTCTCTCTCTCTCTCTCTCTCTCTCTCTCTCTCTCTCTCTCTCTCTCTCTCTCTCTCTCTCTCTCTGTCCCTCTCCCTCTCCCTCCCTTCCTCCCTTCCTCCCTTTTTTTTTCCAAGTTAAACAAAGGATCTAGGTGTCATTCAGAGGTAGAGTGTTTGTTCTAGGTCTAGTTCCAATGACAGGGGTGGGGTAGGGGTAAGTAAATGGAAGATACATTTGTTAGTCAATCGTTTAACAATGTTTTATGCAATGAACTGTGTGGCAGGCTCCATCTCAGACACCTGCAAGAGGAGCTGATCTAGCAGTCACCTTGAGACTAGACCCTTTCCAGGGCTTACGAGACTGAGCAGTGAAAAACCAACAGACGGGGTGGGGGAATAAAGTACATAAATCACTTTGCAGTTTCTTTGCATTGATGGAGAGTTGGCTTATGCCCTCAAGACATCTATGCCATTCTGGAAACTTCTGAAGTCAAGTCTTTATAACTCGAAGAGATGTGGGAGCATTGGTCTAGTTAAAAGAGGAAACTGCTGACCCATAACGATGCCTGTCCATAACCCCAGCATCTGGGAAGCATCCTGGAGACTGAGTAGACGGTTGCCATGAGCTGGGGGCCAGCCTGAGCTACATAGTAAGTTTCAAGCCAGCCTAGGCTACAAAGTGAAACTCTATAGAGGAGAGAAAGCCAGACAGAGAGACAGAGACAGACTACAGGCCCATGGTAGAGCAAGAGTCTTAGTATCTCTAGCGAGCCCTGGGTTTGATCCCAAGCACCACAAAACGTTAGCATGGTGTTACATGCCTGTAAGCCCAGCAATTCCAGGAGACAGACAGAAAAGAATTCTGAGTTCTAGGATAGTTGCATTACATAGGGAGAATAAAGCTTAAGAGCACAGTAGTAAATTGTGATCGTTTTCACTTGTAGCCTGAACAGAAGCGGAGTGCTCACTGACAAGTGGTAAGGGTGGTGCTATTTCACACCAAATTACTTCACAGTGTTTGTTCACACTCAGCAGGGAGGCCGTCTTGGAGACTCATGTTTGGTTTGGTTTGCACATTCGTGGGCAGATCCTGACTCTGAAGAAATGAGTGTTTGGCTACTTCAGGTCCAGGAATTATAAATGTGACTCGAGTTCTTCCCTGGGTAACTGCCTGAAATTCCTGACAATGGCAACATAGGAGAACGGATGGTTTGGGGGATTTTGTTTTGTTTTCTTTATGCAGAAAATTAAACTCTGTTCTTAAGCTGTATTCCTGGCCCATTTTCTTTTATATATTAAAAAAAAAAAGACCCACAACTTACAAATGCTCGATCGACATTTTATAAGTCCTCAGCCCACTTTCTTTCAGAAAGTGTTCTGGAAGGGTACCAGAGACAGAAAATGGGAAAGACCAGGGTCTTGGTTCTTGTACCAGCTGTGCCTGTGTTAGCAGGGTGACTTCCAGGAGTCTCCATTCACCAGCTGTGCACGGAAGGCTTTGTCCTTCCGAGTCACAAAGGTGGAAGACATAGTTTCTGTCTCCCAGGAGCACACAGAAGACCGGGCAGGACACAGTGTTAGTAAATAACTACATCTCTGCGTGATAAAGGCTGCAAAAGTCCAGTGAGAACAGCCTCAAGGTGAGGCACCCAGCTGACGGGGACAGGAGGACGGGACGTTTCCTGTGCTCTGAGTTTGTTTCTCAGCTGCGAGATGAACTTTTATGCATTGGTGCAGTGCACCAGCGTGCGCTTCAGTTCCAGATGAAGCCCCTGCAGTGACTTGCACCTGTCTGTTTGTGAGTTTGAAAGGAAGCTTCATGGCTCTCACCATCCTTCTACCTAGGACTCCTGTAAAGCAGGGCTCTTGCCTTTCTGCCTAAGCACACCCCCACCCATTCAACACTAAGCACACCCCCACCCATTCAACACTAAGTACACCCCCCACCCATTCAACACTAAGTACACCCCCACCCAATCAACACTAAGTACATCCCCCACCCATTCAACACTAAGTACACCCCCACCCAATCAACACTAAGTACACCCCCACCCATTCAACACTAAGTACACCCCCACCCATTCAACACTAAGTATACCCCCCACCCGTTCAACACTCACATCATCTCTTGGCTCCCCATGATGTACTTTCAGGGTGTGTGTGTGTGTGGTGTGCTTGGAATCAACTCTAGGAGCCCATGCATGCTGGCTCTACCTCTGGGATGCATCTTCAGCCCGCCAAACATACTTTCTATATAAAGGCACCAAACCTGTGGAATTGAGATTTGCTGGCTCTGTAGAAATGGGTGGCAACTGAGACCAGGGAGTCCAAAATCACCTGGAAAAGACAAAGAACAAAGAAGAAAGTAAAGTGTAGAAGGGAGGGGTCAGGAAATCTGGAGGTAAGTGATCCCGGCCCTTGAAACAATCCCAGTCTGGACTGTGCAAAAGTAGGAAGAAGGGAGCTGCCTAGAGAGCCCGGAGGAGCAGGACTCCTCGACGCTTCATGAGGATAAAGGAAAGTCAGCAGAACGGTCCTTTGTCTTTTTTCTTGTTTATCTGAAGCTCTGTCTTCTAGGAGACAAAGTCAAGATGAAATTAAGAGAAGAGCACAGACTTTCTAAATAATTAGGGAGCCCACACCACCGCTGTAGAAACCCGTGTTCCTGGCAAGGGGACTTTTAAACTGATTTCTCATTCATTAGCATACATAGTCATTCATTCACTCAGTGCTAGCCTTGGGTGGAACACGAAGTTGCACAAGACTCAGCTCCTGATCCCACTCGATTCTAGTAAGCATTTCCTGAGCACCCACTCTGAGCCAGACATTGGACTCTGTCCTAGAATTCAAACTAGAATTAAAAAGGACAGTGCGGCTTTTTACCCATGGAGCTTATATTCTAGTCTATTTGCTAATAGAATGTCTTTATGCTTAGAATATCCTAAGCATTGCCTTGAACAGACATTACTCTTGCTTGCGATTCTGTCAGTTCTCTGGCCTTGTTGGGAGGATAAATCCAGAGGATTTATTCTGGAGTCTTGGCAGTTCAGCTTTGAGCTCACAGTGTTTGTGACTGAGAGAGAAAAATGGTCTGTTTCCCTATCTCTCCCCCACAGGCTTAACAATGCACCTGGCTGGGTCAGGAGCATTTGCTTTGTTCTCCAAGTGAGGTGTTACACATACACAGTCATTTTTCTGGCTTTCTAAAATGCTTTATTCAACCCTCCAATTTCCTACCTTTCTCTTTCCTGTCCTGTTTAATAATTAGGCTGCTTAATAACTGCTGCTGATGGGGTGGTGGTGAGAATGGTTAGGGCTTACAAGACCCTGGGGAAGATAACAGCTTCCATTGCCAGAGTCATTCTGCTTCCAGAAACTCCCTGAGCAAGCAAAAAGGCTGCTCTTTCCTGCACCAGACTTGACTAACTTGGTTCATTCTGTCCCCAAGGGCCTTGCCAAGCCTTTGGGTTCTGCCCCTGACTTGTGCTGTTTCTACTCCCAGGGCTTTTACTAATAGCATTTGACTACTGCTTTTCAAGTACTCACTAGGTCTGGAAGTCAGAGCAGACGAGACTGAATATAAGGAAAAAAGGAACCAATCCAGGCAGCTGTGACAACACAGAGGACTCAGAAGGCCTCATTGATCGAGCACATGTCAGCTCAAGGGCACTCAGGCATGGGCTTCAGAACAAGCCATGAGTGCCTACCTACCTAGGGAGTATAACCAGAGAGACAAAGATGGAGATGGGACACTCATTCCACATGAAGGGAGTGGGTGGAGAGTCACAGAGACAGACCTTCATGTACACTGAGAAGCTACACAATGTGGGGCAGGATACTGGTTTCAGAGTCACCCAGCTGTGGGTTCAGGTGTCAGCCCCACCATTGAATAGCAGATGATCTTGGGCATGTCATTTAGTATCTTTAGCTTTGGCTTTCTCTTTATAAATGCAGTTAACAATTCTTTTTAAAAATAACTCATTTATTTTGGGGCTAGAGAGATGACTCAGCAGTTGAGAGCCCTGGCTGATCTTCAAGAGGACCTGGGCTCAATTCCCAGCACCAACATGGTTAGCTCACACCTGTCTGTAACTCCATTTCCAAGATTTCTGACATCTCCACACAGACATGCATGCAAGCAAACTGCCGATGAACATAAAATAAAAATAAGTAGTGTATTGAAATTATTCATTTATCATGGGTGTGTGCTGAATGTGTATGTGCACCACATGTGCAGGAGTCCATGGAAGCCAGACGAGCATATCATACCCCTTCCAGGCAGTTGTGAGTCTTTTGAGGGCTGGGGAAAAAACCCAGATCCTCTACAAGAGCAGTGAGTGTCATGCCCACTGAGCCATCTCTTTAGCCCCAGGTAGTAACTCTTATCTCTCATAGACATTTTGGGAACCGATGAGATCAAGATACCTTCATGCATTCGGCATTCAATGGGCAGCATTAAGGAGTACCAAAGTGACACACCTGTGTGGTTCCAGCTACTCAGGGAGCTGAGGGTGGAGGTTTACTTAAGTCTAGTCATTTGAGAGACGCCTGGGCCAACTCGTCTTAAAACAAACAAGGGGGTGGGGAACAGGAAATAAGTGCCACCTGGCATTATTTTTTGACTGCCTTTTCTATGGTAGGTTTGGAACTATGTATAGAAAATGTGTTGCGACAAATAGGTTTGCCTGTTAAATGGTTCCAAGAGCTCTTTTGAGGGTTACCTGGTAAAAGATTAGCTTCCTCTTTCTCAAACCTGAACTTCTTGTTGGGCAAGGGGCACTGGAGGCCACTAGTTGAGTATTCTCAGCAATTTGACCACCAGTGGACCCCTAATCTCAAGTTGCCTAGTGTCTCAACACCAAAAATGTTTATCTCAAAGAGGAACTTTAAGGAAAGTTAACTCTCAGTTTGACCTATACAAAAGAAAAAGAAAAAAAGGGTCATTCCTCAGGTGATCCTTATAATACGTTCAATTGTACCCCCAGTGACCCCACTTTTCTACAGGATCCAAAGAGAGTATGGTTCTTTTAAACTGCCCCGTTCACAAGTTTCACCTATACCAGTGATTTTGCCAGAGCAGAAAGGCAGCCTCTCTTCAGTACACAGTGATTATGATACTGCATGAGAAACACTGTGGTAAAGATATTCCAGAGTCCTCTTGGTGAAGGTGCTATTTGAGATAAACTTTGAAGGGAGCTCCGATGGGGAGGTGTGGGGTTGCTTCTGTGTGAGGGACAGTTTAAACAAAGGGAGGAGTGTGTATAAAGAGATGCCTGGAGAGGATGCTAGGAGGTAGACTAGACGTTGAGGGCTGTCATGAAAGGAAAAACAAACTTATTTGGGGATTAAAAACCTTGAGGCAGATGTGCATGTGAGGAAGACGATGCTCTGGCAGCTGTGCAAATTCAGCAGAGCAAGGCTAGAAGCTGTTGCAGTGATCCAGGCAGAGGCGGTGTGTATACAAAGTAGGTCAATGCACCAGGAAGGCTGGAGAGAGGATTTTAGACATAATATGACAGGACCGCAAGAAAATTCAGTAATCTGCAGTTCTTCCTTTTGTAACTGAAGCAATTAAAGACCAAAGAGACTTCATTCAACTATTTGACTTTCTGTACTCCCAATGTACCTACCCCCCAAGGAAATGCCAAGAAAGTTCACAGGACATGGCCAGTTTCAAGGCCTTTTTCTCTAAGTCTATTATTCTTGGTCTTTGGATGTGTAAGAGAAGGGCAGGGACAAGGGACTTCTAATGAGGAGTAGATTAGGAAAAGAAAGGCAGGAGACTGCAGGAGTCTCTTTTTCTTCTTCTATGGTCTCTCTAAGCTTCTTTCATTTTAGAGGAATGAGGGTTTTATTTGTAGAACTGTAGCCTCTAGCATGTTGGTTTATTTGTAGAGGACTTGGCAAATGATATTATTTCCTATCAAATATAACACACCCAATTTATTAATGTTTGAGAATGCCTGGGAGTTGAGCCTACACTGTACACAAAGAGGCAGAAATTCGGTCTGATGCAGACTGTGTGGGTGAAGAGCAGAGCCTGGTTTGTACTGGTTTTCCATCTCACACTAATCACTGACAGTTTGGCATGAACATTAAATAATCCTGTGGCACTAACAATATTTAACAGAGAGGGAAACTGAGGCCCAGAGAGACTATCCATATGAACACAAAATAAGCAAGCATTGCTCAGGTTCAGGACCCAGAAACCCCTGACTTCAATTCCCTATACTTCCTAGCACACCTGAACACCTCTCCAGTTGTTAGAAT